CCAGTGTGAGTCATTTGATGTGACCTAAGGCTGCTACTGTGACTAAACCTCTTTCCACATTCTATGCATTTATGTGGTTTCTCCCCAGTATGGGTCCTTTGATGTAATCTAAATTTATGACTCTGACTGAAGCTCTTTCCACATTCCATGCATTTATGTGGTTTCTCCCCAGTATGAGTCCTTTGATGTAACCTAAGGTCAGCACTGTAACTAAAGCTCTTTCCACATTCAATGCAGTTATGCGGTTTCTCCCCAGTATGGGTCCTTTGATGTAATCTAAATTTATGACTCTGACTGAAGCTCTTTCCACATTCCATGCATTTATATGGTTTCTCCCCAGTATGGGTCCTTTGATGTGCCCTAAGCTGACCACTCTCATTGAAGCTCTTTCCACATTCAATGCAGTTATGCGGTTTCTCCCCAGTATGGGTCCTTTGATGTGCCCTAAGCTGACCACTCTCATTGAAGCTCTTTCCACATTCAATGCAGTTATGCGGTTTCTCCCCAGTATGGGTCCTTTGATGTGCCCTAAGCTGACCACTCTCATTGAAGCTCTTTCCACATTCAATGCAGTTATGCGGTTTCTCCCCAGTATGGGTCCTTTGATGTGCCCTAAGCTGACCACTCTCATTGAAGCTCTTTCCACATTCAATGCAGTTATGCGGTTTCTCCCCAGTATGGGTCCTTTGATGTACCCTAAGCCCACTACTCTGATTAAAGCTCTTTCCACATTCTATGCATTTATGTGGTTTCTCCCCAGTATGAGTCCTTTGATGTATCCTAAGGGCACCACTGTGACTGAAGCTCTTTCCACATTCCATGCATTCATGTGGTTTTTCCCCAGTGTGAGTCCTTTGATGTAATCTAAGGTCAGCACTCCGAGTGAAGCTCTTTCCACATTCTATGCATTTATGTGGTTTCTCCCCAGTATGGGTCCTTTGATGTAACCTAAGTGTATCACTCCGACTGAAGCTCTTTCCACATTCCATACATTTATGTGGTTTCTCCCCAGTGTGACTCCTTTGATGTGGACACAGATTTCTTCTTCCGCAGAAACTCTTTTCACTTTCCATGTTTTTGTATGATTTTTCCCCAGGATGAGTTTTTTAAAGTCAACTAGCGGCAGTGGTCTGAAGCTGTCTATTTAACCCCTTGTTCCTCTAGTTCATGGGTTTTTCCCCCCAGCTTCACACTTGAGTCTTTTCAGGGCTAGAAAAAGTGGCTCTGTATAATTCTGCCCATCAATTTTTTTAACCTGGTAAGAGAAAAAGAAGATGTCTTGAAAATGTAGCACAGAACAGAATCTAACTGGAGGTCAAACCAAATAATTTGCTCTGAGTCCTTTGAAAGTCATATGTCTCCTGAAGGCTTTACTGGCAACATTTGAAAAATTAGCCCTATTTTGAAAACAGCATGGACTCTCCAAAGGGGTAGTGATGGGAAAATATAGTTGATTAAAATTAACTACTATCCAAAATAATATTAAACATGGGCCATCAAGTCCATTCTGACTGATGGCAACCCTTTTTTCAGGGGGTTCTAGGTAGAGAATACTCAAAAGTCGTTCCCTGCCTCTGGGATTGTGCAGTTTCCCAAAGGCCACACAGTCTGACCTTACCCGTGGGAGACACAGTGGGGAACCTCTAGTTCTGCAACCAGATATTTAAACCACTATACAGCCAGCTTACTCAGAAATACAAGGACAGGGTTTGATTAGAATTGAGGTTTTACTGGAAAGGTTCCATGGTTTAAATGCAAATTTCCTCCACTGTGTGTTTAGTCGTTTAGTCGTGT